AACTGGGCTGTAAATAATTCAATTTAAATTGAACTTATTTACTTTGTAAAAAATAAAAATAAAAAATAGAAATGCCAGGAAATAACTTTAGTCGTGCTGCATAAATAAACTGGATTGAAATGAATTACTGAGAAGATGACTTGTTTTAAACATTTCAAACCTAAGTCAATGATGCATTGTGTAAACACTTGGAAGTTCATATTTTACACACGACTCCGACCGACTGGACAGTTTTGTACAATATTTTAGGAAACATAAGCTGTGATATTGTTAATATTTTAAGGCAATATAATTTGGCATTGTTTTTGTGTATCGTTGTTACAATAGAATAATTTGAATAAATAAAATCACTCATAAATCACTGATGATTATAAAAACCCCATCTGCTTTTCTGTTATATTAGAAAAACTCCGAGAAGTTTCTCAACATATTTAATTAAAATTACCTTCCATATTGAAAACGCAGGAACTCTATAGTGCAGTCTACATAATAGCTTACAAAAATTTAGATTATTATTTTTTTTTTTTTACAATGGTATCTTATCCCCGAAGTATTGTGCACAACGGTGAGTTGCGACACAATTAATAATAAAGTTGCTAATAGTAAAAATAAATGAAAAGAATCACTGAAAACATCAAAATCAGGCACCATGCACTCGTGGACAAATGTTTTGACGCTCATTCAGCCGCAAATATGGCGACATCATGTGCTGCTGTCATATAAATCATATAAAAATGCACGTCATGATTCTCGTGTAGCAGCAGTAAATTCGAGGCCAGTAATTAGGGTTTGTTTGGCTGATTAGACCATGTCATGCTCGAGGTGGAGCAGAGAGCCAAACACTTTTACAGCTTCCTTAATAACAAGCTAGCTCTGCCCTTAAATGACATCTGGCCAACAAACACACTTCTGAATGTGTTTGTGTGTGCAAATGTTTGTCTGCAAATACATTCAATCTTACGATTGCTTCAAGGATATCTACTAAAAGGAAACTGTGTCTCTAAATGATTTCGGCCAAACAGACTGTGTTCTTACAGCTGCTGGTTTACAGATGTCACATCTGTAGTTGCCGCACATAAATCGATTTAACACCAGCAAAACTATAAACATGAAGTGCTGGTGATGTATGTGTGAAACTATTTTCTATTTGAAAAGTCACACTTGTGAGTAAATAGCATGTCAGAACATATGACATAAGAAGAAGCAAGACTCGTCTAAATGCTATTAACTGTTGGACCAAAAATACAACAACAATTTACTGACGTGTTTAATAGACTGAGCATCCACACCTACAAACTTAGAAGAAAAGCCAACCAGCATCTTTTATTGCCAAAAGACAAACAAACGTAAGGGGGTTCCCACATGTGGTACTCCTTTTATGGAATAATAGCAGAGGAGGTGAAGATGGAGCACAGAAGATAGAAAACAAAGACCCAACATGCACAATGCTGCAGGGTTAATGTCTTGTTTGCTTTATGTCAGGCAACATCTATAGCTGGACATTAGCTGACCAGAGCTTTTGTGGCAACGCAAAACGTAGCTTGCTTTAGAGGTACGGCTGCAGTTGACGATTACTCGAAGTCAAAAGTTCAGCTTGACAGGAAGGCAACACTGTCAGTGACTTTCCAGGATTCATTCTGTCTGGATTTAAACTGCATGGCAAATAAATTACCTAGAAGAAATTGGATTAACGCTTAAGTCCTATCAGATCAGTCTCTGGGAAATGTGAAGTCTAGTTTAATACCTTGGACTCTTTGAGACATTCCTAAGCTATTTTTGCAAAGCTCTTTGCTCGTCCCCTGAAGATTTCTGCTAGGATAAGAGAATCTTGATGTCATATAAAAAAGTTTTAGCCCATTTTACAAAACACTTTTGAACCAGGCCTGAGACACTTTTTCCATATATACCGTATAAAGGCCTAGACAACACGAGGGTCATAGCAAGTGTTGAAGTAAATGCCTGTGAATGTTAGGATGCAGGGTTTAATAGATCATTGTTGTATCAATGTTAACTTTTACTGTCAGGTTTTGATTTGTGTATTAATCATCTGCGCCCTCAAATCTCTAGTAAAAATCTATTTCAGTGCCTGCAGGAGTTTGAATACTGGATATCGTCTCCTCCCTCGAGCCTTCCTCTTATTAGCCATGACAGTGTCTCTGTGTCAACATCGCTTGTGGAAAATATTCATTGTTGCAGCCTCTGCTGTCCTGGTGCCGAGATTCACACGGCACAAACCTCGAAAAGTTGCCTCACCTTTAGAGAAAAGCTGTCGTTTGAGGCAATCGCCGAATGATTTGAGGAGTGTGTAAAACAGCGATTCGTTTCTTTTAAACGGTGATTTAAATTTCAAATTAGAACACTGCGTAGTCTGTCCAGTTCTAAAGAAATGAACCACTTTACACGATGCTGAGCACATCCCTCTTGTTCTGAACTCCATTGTCTGTGATGATTCAAACCAGGATAGCAGAACTGCAGATGATTTAACACTGAAGCTGTCAATCCTTAACCACAGTGTATTCTGGACACCACTTTGGTCTTAGCCAAACCAGTGTTTAGTTTTAAAAGCATTGTGATGGTTATGAATAATCTGGTTACTCGGGGACTACAAGAGCTCAACAGAAAGGGATAAAAAGCAGTAACAACAAAGTATGTAGGGCAGAAAATACTGTTCCAAGATTACAATGCATAATGCTGGAAACTGAACAAAATGATGCTCCTCGATACTATCTCACGGTGGCATCCCACAGCCTTCTTGCCTTTAGACTTTCCCCTAATTTAAAGGCTGTGCAACAGATCAAATTTAATTCAGAGCTAGAGTTTTGCCTTCTGACAGTTTTTACACAAACATGACCTTGAATGACTCACTGGTATGTCAAGTACCATTTCCCTCACTCAGCTTGCACATTATACTCCAATTTAATGTTTTGTTGCATACTCGGTGTGGAGCTTTTTGTGAAAGATGGCTTAAAACCCCAAAACGGGACTTCACAATGCTGTGAAATATTTCAGTTTGTTTGCAGCTTTAATCATAGATGTGCCTGAAGAAAATGCAAGTTTTACAGCACATCATTTAAAAATTAAATATGGTGTTTCTAAAGAGAATCTTGCAAAACAATGAAAATTTCCAAAATGACTAACATTCTGATCATCTCCGATGTTAGTCAATACTTCCCGATTTTGATGACAAAATTCAAAGCTATAGTTTTGCACCTGCATCCTGCACATATGAGACATATAAGCCAAATAAGCTTTAACATATCGGCCAAAAATCCAATATCGTGCATCCCTACTTATTACCGTTTTTCTTTTACATTTTATTGTTGGATGTAACTGGGACCCTGTGTACACAATTCCGTTCCACCACATGTACCACATGTGGCACGAATGACAAATAAAGAAACTCCGACTTTGACTGACAAAGTGAAACTATACAAGCTACAAATAGTAAAACTAATATTTTATCCCAGTCAAGATGGTGACACCTAAACCAGCTTTGCAGCAGAAATCCAACACTGAACACACGTACATAAATGGAATGACAAAAAAATATTTTTAGGTGCTTAATGGCTTATATTTGTGCGCCTGTCCTGAACTCGTGGTTTACTCAGAAACTATAGCCCTTATGATAAAGATAACGTTTAATTATATTGTCCCATAATAAGTTAGGAGAGTTAGAGTGAAAAGCTAATTACGCCATTGATTCATCTTCATATCTGTGGTCAAGTCACAGAGGTAAGACTAGATATGCCTCTCCAACACCTAGGGGATCCCAAGGTGTCCCCAGGCCAGAGAAAATATACAATCCCTCTAATAAGTTCTGCTCTGTGGTGCCCTCCAAGTGGAAAGTGTCTGGAAAACCTTTGCAGTTAGTGTCCAGGGGGCATACATGCCCAAACCACCCAAGTAGACTCCTTTTGATGTGAAGGAGCAGCAGCTCTATTCAGAGTTCCCCCTGGACGATGGTGCTCCTTACCCCATTTCTAAGGCCACCCTACAAAAAAGCTCATTTTACCCACTTGTACCCTGTTTTTTTTTTAGTCATAATCACATGTGAGGGTGGGAATCTAGATTGAAAGCTATGCCTTTCAGCTCAGGTTTTTTCCTTCATCACAACAGACCAAAGCAACGCTCTCATTACTGCTGATGAGGCCTCCCCGGTCTGTCGACTTGTCTCAGATATCTCAGACAGACAGGTTATATTAGATATGGAGGCGCAATCTTGTCTTTTAAAAAAGCACTTTAAGTTGCAGATATTTAATAAAGAGCTTGTGCACAATATGTCTATATTTAGTACCCATCAGAACAAATCCTCAGTCAGGAACAGAAAGCACTTTATTGAATATAAAAGTGACTTTCTTTATGACCAAGAAAATCAACTACAGTGCCAACGTGTAAAATGTTTATTTAAGCAAAACTGTGAAGTCTTTGCTTGACTGATGATATTGCATTAAGTACTAAGAGAAGCCATGACTATATAGGGTCATCAGTGAACTAGTCAACATTTGCTTTGATTTAAATTCACTTTTCCTATTGACGTTCTTTTCACCTCACCTATAGCTTGCAAAAGCACCTTACCATTCCGGACTTGAACTTAACGGTAAGTCAGAAAATAGTTGCATCCGCTGCACAAAACAACAGCTCAGTAATGTGATCCACATCTGTCAGAGCACTTTGCCCAGACATTCTTTCATTCATTCACATGTGCAGCTTGTGTAAAGTTATGGACATATTTTACAGCTCTTTCCTAAAGGACATGGACATTTTATCATCATAGAGCAGCAGAGCAGTCACATAAATGCCAGCGCTCATCTCTGAATGTCCCATAAATGAAAGCTGATAGGGACAAATCACCCACATCCATAAACTGTTCTTGTCATCAAGAGCATCTTGTTCCTTTTTCTCCTCCTCATGCAATCACTTGCAGGCGCCTGATTCTGCAAAAAGCCCCTAAATCTAAAATCTAGCACCTGGTTTCTTCACACCTGTCCACCTTTGCTCACCTTTCAGGGCCTGGATGAGCGCCTTGCCGTCTTTAATCAGCTCCTTGATGAACTTGTTGGTTTTGTCCAGCTCCAGTTCGTGAGACTTCAGCCTCTCCCTGAACTGCGGGCTGTCCAGGTAGCAGTCACTGAACTCCAGAGCTGGTAGTCCCATCTTCACAAGGCAGGACAACCAGGTGCAAACACTCAGAAGAGGAGAAATGAGATGCGGAGGAGGGAAACTCCCGGTGTCTCTGCTGCTACTTTCCTATTCCTACTACTACAGTACCGCTGCAGCCGCTCGTGAAAAATATTAGAGCATGTAAACACCAGGGCGTTTCTGAGAGAAATGTCCACCTACATAACCTGAGTTTTCTGTTTTCAACACAAGTCTCGTTTCCCGAAGAGGCAAAACAGCAGCAGACACGACATCCAGTTATTGAATAAAAACAGCTCAGTGCGGTCAAAAAAGAAAAGGTGTCCACTTGTTCAGGTAGAACCGGTGCTGCTGTCCTCTCGACCGAGCCATTCCTGACCCGACAGGCTCAAACACACACTGAGGGAGGATGACGGTAGCGAAAAACACTAACCTCCCCGGAAAAAAAAAAAAAAAAAAAGAAGAAGAAGAAGCAGCGACGTCGCCTGCCTTGCGTTAAAAACTAGTTTCTCCCACTGCTCGGTTTAGCTAAATGCCTGCCGACTACTCCAGCGCGCTTAAGCTCCTGATTGACGTCTGTGTTGACCAATCAGATGCCCGGATGGAGGCGTTTGACCGTTGACAACAGCACAGGAGCAAATTCATAGTTTAAATAGAAAGAGGGCTCACGTTGATCATATTCCCAAGAACGTTTTTGTAGAAATGAATTCATTTCATCTTGTTAAAACTTGTTTTAAAACTCACTAGTCTTGACTTTATCGAAGCACATTTCCACAGCTTTAATAATAAAAAAAAAGTCTACGTTATATTTATGACATAATTTACAACTTAATAGTTTATATCATCATCATTAGAACTTCATATTTTGAAATTGTGACAGCCTATTATTATGAGAAAGTGTCTTATAACTATGACTTATACTTATGTAAAGTAGTAATCTATATACTTTTGTCAGAAAAAAAAAAGTAATTGTACTGAATTTCAGTTTTTAACACAAAATAAAAGGTGGGAACCAAGGACCCTGGGCGTAAAATTGAGATTCTCATATTTGTGGCAAGAGAAATCCATCCATCCATTATCTTTACCCGCTTATTCCATTCTGGGTCACGGGGGTCGCTGGTGCCCATGTCCAGCAATCACTGTGCGAGGGGCGGGGTACACCCTGGACAGGTCGCAAGTCCATCACAGGGCCACATAGAGACAAATGAGACAAACAACCATTCACTCTCTCATTCACACCTAGGGACAATTTAGAGTTACCAATCAGCCTAACATGCATGTTTTTGGTCTGTGGGAGGAAACCGGAGCACCCAGAGAAAACCCACGCATGCACGGAGAGAACATGCAAACTCCACCCAGAAGGCCCCTGGACCGGGGTTTGAACCAGGGACCTGCTTGCTGAGAGGCAGCAGCTCTACCAGTTGCGCCACCGTGCTGCCCGGCAAGAGAAATGTGCTTGCTAATTTGTTTGAATCAATTTTAACAAAACATAATTTTAGTAACTCACTTCTCACAAGTTATAGAACATTTTGAAGGGCTGGTAAAGTTTTGCTGTTTGGTGGTTTCAATTTTGTTTCAAACGTCTAAAATATCGTCTTAAACATAGACGATCTTTGTATGCGTAGGATTGGGATTAACCGGAGTTCGTGTGGTGGGAGGAGACTGTGACGTCATTTTAACCAGATCAGGAAATTTCTGCCCTAAAAACTCCACCGCCTTCATATCTGCCGCCCTCTGTTGGTCAAAGAGGGGAAGTACTTGTACTGCGAGGATAATTTTGTACTTGGAGGTATAAATATTTATGTGAAATCTTACAATGACCTATGAATTGAAACATATGCTTGTTTTATAGTAAAACAATGTAATAAAATAAAGCCCGTGTCGAAAACACACAGGAAGCTTTTGTTTTTAATAATTTCAAACCTACAAAAGGAGTCAAATCTTCTTGTATAAGGTGATGTTTTATTTTATAATTTAAAATGTTTTCGTTAAACTACATAATAAAAGAAAAACGCTAAAGATGTGTATTCCTAATAGATTAGTATTTATAGGAATATGAATATGTTGAATGTGTTTCTCTAAAATTATAAAGAAGCAGACAGTTTAATAAACTAAAGGACAACCGAAGCTGAAAACACAAAGAACTGGGCTAATGCAGATCAGTCATTAGCATTGCCTCATAATTTCTGATATCATTTTGCATATATGCACTGTATGTCGTGGACACATTGATGTTGCTGTTCTTCTTCATGTGTGAAAACAGTTCAGATTTAGAAGTGCTACTTCCATCCTCACAGCCGAGCACAGCGTCCGGTTGCATGTTCATGTCTCCATCTGTGGTGGGCTGTGTAAGACAGGAAGTCGTCTGTTGTTTGTGTGTAAATTCAGATGCAGAGGAGGTTGATTCAAGAACCAGATTTACTCGGTTTGAGTTCAGGTACATGACATTCCTACTTTTAGTTAAAACTTGCAGCTGATGGTTTTTATCACAAAAAATGCATAAATGTTAAGATTTGCAGTTTTATCACTAAACAGAGCACGTTTCTGATTCGACAACAGGTTTAAACTGAAGAATCTTTATCTAAATGGTTGTATTTACACATGTTCGTTTTGTCTAATATTAATACACAAGTAGTCTCTTTAGGTGGTCAGATCTGGTTGCTAATAACAGAACAACAATGGCGGGCGGCTGTGGCTGAGTGGTTAGAGCAGTCGTCCTCCAATGCAGGATGACATCCAATGTGTGTCCCATCAGTGTATGAATGTGATAAATCACTGATTGATCCTTAGAATGATTTGTTCAATTAGCTCTGTATAGATCTAGTAGAGTTCTGTATGAATGGGTACATGAGGGCACAGATTGTAGTGTAGAGCGCTTTGAGTGTCTTGATAAGATAGAAACGTGCTAAACAAGTGCAGTCCATTTACCATTTTGAAAATAATAAAAGCCCAGTATTTTTGAAGGAATGCATATCATCCACCTCTTTTCATGCCAGAGTTTCAGACTAAAAATGTCATTTTGAGAAATGACAGTTTTATAGCAGTTGTGGCCAAACCTTAAAATTTGTTTTACTCAATCTCCTGCAGTATTGTGACATCTCACACAGCACATACTACAAGCACTAGATATCAATGAGATCCAATGTTTGTATCAAGAAATGGTAAATGGACTGTACTTATATAGCACTTTTCTATCTTCTCAAGATACTCAAAGTGCTTTACAATCTGTGTCCTCATTTAACCATTCATACAGCAGATCTATACAAAGATAATCAGTGCTTTATCACATTCATGCACCGGACACACATCGGAAGCAATGAGTGGTTCAGTGTGTTGCTCAGAGACACTTCGGCATGTGGAAGTGTGGAATCGAACCCCCAACTCTTGCATGGGAGGACGACTGCTCTAACTACTCAGCCACATACAATATAAGATTGTGAAAATTTGTATTTTTGTGGTTTGACTAAAATGGTCATAACTGTCTTTAATCAACATAAGATGATCTCAGTCTGAATCTCTGGCAGGAAAGATGGTGGGTGATATGCATTCCTTTAAATAACTCTAGTCCTTTATTAGATTTTTTTTCATTACTTGTTCTACTCTACTTGTTTGTATTTGTATTTTTTATCTTAATATGCGTTTAATTGTATTTCCTCCTCTAGAACCTGGACCTGACATTCTGTTTGTTTTCTCCTTCCTGTTCCTCTCAGACCCAACCTGTCGAAGCAGATGACCGCTCACCTGAGCCTGCTTCTGCCGGAGGTTTCTTCCTGTTAAAAGGGAGGTTTTTTTTCTTTCCACTGTTGCCTTTGTGCTCGCTCAGGATGGGAGACTGCAACTAAGTGAAGATGCAATGCAATCTGCCAGCTTCCTTCGATAAATGACTTTTTTTTAACGTATGTGAATGTTTCTGTACAGTGTCCTGAGACGACTTCTGTTGTGACTTGGCGCTATGGAAATAAACTGAACTGAAGAGAAAATTCTTTCATTTGGCAGGTCCTATCGCCCCATAACGGGATCTAACTCTCCTATAAGATGATCTTCACAATAATAAAGTGACTTGTTTCCCAGAGATACAAACATTATGTAAGAATATTTATGGGAAAGTTATAGCTGTTTCTTTTTTGTTGCTCTGCAGTGACTCCAGAAGGACACAAGGCTGTGCAAAGTGGTTCTGGTTTGAGTCCGGGGCCTGGACTCTTTCTCAGTCTTCCTCTCTGGAGCTGAGGGAGGTAATTTTAGTCCTGACGTTGGCCTGTTAAAACCAGTTGTCTGACGTTAGAGGGATGGCGAGGTGAGGGAGGAGACATTTCTCCAGACGAGAAAGGAGAAGGACAATTTGGCATGAAACGCTGGTTTCAGCCAAACTTCAGTTAAGAGAAGGAAAGGAGGACATGCATGGCTCATCAGGGCTGCTCTCGCATGACTGTTTTACAGGTAGGTGACTGATTTGTATAATTAGACTGTGGTTACTTTGAGGGAAAACAGTTTAACGATTCAAGTTGAGACTTCAATGATCTGACGTGTTCAGCAGTCAGTTATTTTACAAACCGGATTCCAAAAAAGTTGGGACACTAAACAAATTGTGAATAAAAACTGAATGCAATGATGTGGAGATGGCAAATGTCAATATTTTATTCGTAATATAACATAGATGACAGATCAAAAGTTTAATCTGAGTAAATGTAACATTTTAAAGGAAAAATATGTTGATTCAAAATTTCACAGTGTCAACAAATCCCAAAAAAGTTGGGACAAGTAGCAATAAGTGGCTGGAAAAAGGAAATTGAGCATATGACAAACAGCTGGAAGACTAATTAACACTAATTAGGTCAATTGACAACATGATTGGGTATAAAAAGAGCTTCTCAGAGTGTCAGTGTCTCTCAGAAGCCAAGATGGTAAGAGGATCACCAATTCCACCATTGTTGCGCAGAAAGATAGTGCAGCAATACCAGAATGGTGTTACCCAGCATAAAATAGCAAAGACTTTTAAGTTATCATCATCAACCGTGCATAACATCATCAAAAGATTCAGAGAATCTGGAACAATCGCTGTGCGTAAGGGTCAAGGCCGTAAAACTCTACTGGATGCTCGTGATCTCCGGGCCCTTAAACGTCACTGCACCTCAAACAGGAATGCCACCGTCAAGGAAATAACAGAATGGGCTCAGGAATACTTCCAGAAAGCATTATCAGTGAACACAATCCACCGTGCCATCCGCCGTTGCCAGCTGAAACTCTACAGTGCAAAGAGGAAGCCATTTCTAAGCAAGCTCAGACGTTTGCACTGGGCCAGGGGTCATTTAAAAGGAGTGTGGCAAAATGGAAGACTGTTCTGTGGTCAGATGAGTCACGATTTGAAGTTCTTTATGGAACACTGGGACGCCATGTCATCCGGACCAGAGAGGACAAGGATAGCCCAAGTTGTTATCAACGCTCCGTTCAGAAGCCTGCATCACTGATGGTATGGGGTTGCATGAGCGCTTGTGGCATGGGCAGCTTGCATATCTGGAAAGGCACCATTAATGCAGAGAACTATGTTCAGGTTCTAGAACAACATATGCTCCCATCTAGACGTCATCTCTTTCAGGGAAGACTCTGCATTTTTCAACACGATAATGCCAGACCACATTCTGCAGCAATCACAACATCATGGCTACGTAGGAGAAGGATCCGGGTACTGAAATGGCCAGCCTGCAGTCCAGATCTTTCACCTATAGAGAACATTTGGCACATCATAAAGAGGAAGGTGCGACAAAGAAGGCCCAAGACGATTGAACAGTTAGAGGTCTGTATTAGACATGAATGGGAGAGCATTCCTATTTCTAAACTTGAGAAACTGGTCTCCTCTGTCCCCAGACGTCTGTTGAGTGTTGTAAGAAGAAGGGGGGATGCCACATAGTGGTAAAAATGGACTTGTCCCAACTTTTTTGGGATTTGTTGACGCCATGAAATTAGGAAACAACAGATTTTTCCCTTAAAATGATACATTCTCTCAGTTTAAACTTTTGATTTATGATTTGTGTTCTATTCTGAGTAAAATATTAGATGTTGGCACCTCCACATCATTGCATTCAGTTTTTATTCACAATTTGTTTAGTGTCCCAACTTTGTTGGAATCCGGTTTGTATTTTATTGTTTTCCTGAACAAGTGTCAGTTAGAGCAGTGCAAGTGTGAACTGCAAAATAATTAGAGACAAAAGAGAAACAAAAATATAAGATTTGCACCAAAATACTGTATTTCAGGACTTTTTCTTTTGTCTGTGTGGCATCTTGAATCACCCACATCACGTGAGCCTAAACTGGAGGAAAAAACAAGTTTTAGTTTTCAAACTTTATTTAGTTTGCTTTCTCATATAGCATTTGTGTCACACTTAGGGCCTGGGGGCCAAACGTGGCCCTCGTTGACATCTTATCTGCCCCCCCCCCCCCCCCCCCCCCCCAATATATTTTTTAAATGTAAATCACTTTAATGTTTTTCAGTACTCTTTGATTATGATGTCAAATGTGCAACATAGAACATCAAATCAGACCAGTCAAACTCTTGTTGAAGAACCTGTGACCAAGAAAGTTTGGTATCTAACTTGAGTTAATGTAGATTATGAAACTGGCCCTTAGTTTGAAAAAGGTTTTAATTTTGGCCCCCTTTTGTAAGTGGGTTTGACACCCCTGTTCATGGGGTGTCTGCACATGGGATCCATAACTTCCATTCAGCCACAGCAAGAAATCAACTGCTGATGGAGACATTTTCAAAATTATCATTTTATTTCACAACAATAAAAATGCAATGACGTAATATTCCCATGAAAACAAACAGACATGGGCACACACAAATCAAACAAGTAACTAGTCTTAATCATCAGCTATAGTTTTTTTTTTTTTTATGTGGTAAAATCGGGACTTTTTCTGGATTTGTTGTCCTTGAACTATGAAACTAATCCTTAAATGAACTTATATGTTTGAAAAGTTTTTTTTTTTTTTTTACATATAGAATTTTATTTCATTATGTGTCTTGAGCTTCTATCTGGCTTGTGTTTAGGCCTGTCACGATAAACAATAAATCAATTAATCACATGATAAATGAAAATTATCAACTTCATTTTCTTTTATCGGCTTTATCGTTTCTTCTTGTCTCTCTCTACTGAAGACACTGGATGACAAAAGGCTCAACTCAGGTGCTCTTCACTGACCTCTCCCTTTCTCTTTAAAATCCATTTTAACCAATCAAAATTGCACTTTTGGGTCATTACGAACAGCCAAGCTGAGAAGCTAAGCTAACAGGCTGATGTCGGGAAGAAACCTCTGTCTTGTTGAAGCTCCAAAATTCACAGTTGAAACCCGTGCCTTCGTGTAAAAAGTTGTTTTTCTTTGCAAAAAGAGGCTGAGAACTTGTTTACAGATGTTTTATTAAAAGCTCTGTGTGACAAATGCTATGCTAAAGAGCTCAAACCACACAGAGCGTCTGCCATTTCAAGAATCGAAAAACAGGAACGAGAGACAGCCCATGTCAAGTCAAGGGACCTCCTTCCCGTTTTTCTTAAAGAGCCATGCTGCTCCCTCACTATCCATCCTTTGGTTCAACAAGTCTTATACTGCCGTCCAGTGGTCAAAAAAGGTATTACACACCAAAATTAACCAACATTTCTTCTTAAATTTGACAATAATTACTATCCATCCATCCATCCATCCATCCATCCATCCATCCATCCATCCATTATCTTTACCCGCTTATTCCATTTTGGGTCACGGGGGTCGCTGGTGCCCATGTCCAGCAATCACTGTGCGAGCGGCGGGGTACACCCTGGACTGGTCGCAAGTCCATCACAGGGCCACATAGAGACAAAGGAGACAAACAACCATTCACTCTCTCACTCACACCTAGGGAAAATTTAGAGTTACCAATCAGCCTAACATGCATGTTTTTGGTCTGTGGGAGGAAACAGGAGCACCCGGAGAAAACCCACACATGCATGGAGAGAACATGCAAACTCCACCCAGAAAGGCCCCTGGACCAGGGTTTGAACCAAGGACCTGCTCGCTGAGAGGCAACAGCTCTACCAGTTGCGCCACCGTGCTGCCAACAATATTATCATTTATCGCAATAATTTCTGAGACAATTAATCGCCCAGCAAAAATTGTTATCGTGACAGGCCTACTTGTGTTTATTCCTTTCAAAATATATACAGATTTTATTTTTTTATTTTTTTTTTGGGGGGGGGGGGGGGGGGGGGTCCTGTATTGAGCCAGTTCTTTTCCTCTTGAGACAGTTGATAAAATATGTCGCTATTGGGAATAAAAGGCTTAACAGTTCGTTTTGTGATATCAACTCATTTAGTCCATCTTGGACTTTATCTTGTTGCTGAATCAAGTAAAGACACAGAAGTTAAAATCCTGCTGCTTTGTTAAAACAGTTATAAATTAAAGGTTAAAAGGGTTAGCCACATCTTTTTGCCTCCCCTAACCTCTCGTTTGAACTTTACTCCACTTTAAGCCAAACATCTTGAGCTAACCCCTCTCCCTCTCCTTCCTAATACATACAGTTTGAATCTCTCCTCCCACACATCTGCACTCTGACTCGGTCATCGGTTGGACGTCTGACGTCATTCCCACCTGCTACTCTGTCCAAAGGTCCCAGTCTGGCCCCAACTGTTTCCCTACATCCCGTAATTCTTTAATCCAGATTGGATTCTGAGGAAAAAGCAGACCTTTAGTGGGTGGATGGTTAGGCCTCACATTCCTCCTGTGGCTTTTGCTTTCCTTCCTCATCTTTCGTTCCTCGCGTTTGTTTAATCTAAGACATTCCACGTGTAGGATGACTTGGCGCTGTCGCAGCCATACCTCTGCTTACAGCTGATGACAGACTGGAGTTGTTGCAGCAACACTGTTGACTGGATCCAAACTGGCTTTCTTCCCCATTTCAGAGGACAGACTTTATGGGATCTCTGCTCTCCAGGATTCCTATGCTCAAATAGTGAGTGTGAAACAGAGAAGCAGACAGTCAGAAGGTAAAGCAAAAAGAATTTTGAGAATGTAGGGTGTAAGTGAAACGTTTTGCTTCAGACAGAGGGGAATGCCTTCAGTGGATGGCAAAGCCTTGCGTTGTGTTTGAAATGTTGACATGTAACCTGATGCATGCTCAATAATCCAGGTAGAAAAATCTAAAAAGGAGGACCAGACTTAACTTTTTTAGAGTTAACACGCAACATTTCCAGCAAGGATTTGGAGCATTGCAGCACATTTCCTGTTATCTCCATGTGTTGTTTATTTTTGCTGCTTGGCTTTGCTCCAGTTTCAAGAGCAAAGTTACATCACAGTCATCTGGAAAGTATTTTCCACAGTCCAAGTGATGTTCATGTCAACAAACATGTGCCATCATGTTGTTTGGACCTATAGGTCGGACTCCAGGTTGAAACAGCCAATAGAGAGAGGCAGGGATGTTTGGGAGACAGCTTCACACAATCGCACCATAAAGATGGCTTGGCTCTCCTCTCTTTGCCTCCCCTTGTGTCTCAGACACAGTGAACAGAGTCAATCTCCTCCGTTTTTACACTCCCAGGAACGCCACTCTGCTACGGCCACGCCTCAGACTCAACGTGGGATGTCTGAGGGAGACGTCACGGTGCTGCCGTTTGGCCTCTCGTCTCTGGACCTGCCTAGAAAGGAGCAGCGCACCCTGATCAGACTCTACAGCCAGAATGGAGGATATCACCTGAGGATTTCACCTGATGGAGCAGTGAATGGTGGGAGGCAGGAAAGTGATCCCTACGGTGAGTCAAATAATACGACTATTATCTTTTACTTTGAGTCAAAAAAGCAACTCACGTCACTGTGCATGCAACAATTTGAAGATTTTATCTTGAGGTATTTTAAGTTGTTTTATCTACTGTGAAACATTCCATCTTATAACAACAGCCTGTAAACATCAAGGAACTGATGAGACCTGCTACTGGAGTTTTTGGAGCGGAACAATGTCTCATTCCTGCCTGTTGTAGGATTCTAGCTGTTCAACTGTTCAGGGTGTTCTTTACCAGATTTTTAATTTCATGAAACATCCATCCATCCATTATCTTTTTACCCGCTTCTTCCATTTTGGGTCATGGGGGTCGCTGGTGCCCATGTCCGGCAATCACTGTGTGAGAGGCGGGTTACACCCTGGATGGGTCACAAGTCCATCACAGGGCCACATAGAGACAAACGAGACAAACAACAATTCACTCTCTCACTCACCCAGAAAACAAGGTCTGGATGGGAGCACATGTTCTAAAACTTGAATACGGTATACAGGTACAACTAATATAAGTAGAATATCAAAGTGAAACTTATAGACTCATTACACACAGAGTTAAATATTTCAAGTCTTTATTTCTTGTAATTTGAATTTGGACCCCAAGACATTCTCAGGCCGACATATTATAGTCTCTCCAGCGTGTCCTGGGTCTTCCACAGGGTCTCCACCCAGTCGGACATGCCCGAAGCACCTCCCTAAGGAGGCGCCCAGGGATCAGCTCTACCAGGATAGATGACCAAACCTCCTCAACTGGCTCCTCTCAACATGGAGGAGTTCTACTCAGAGTCTCTCCTGGATGACTGAACTTCTCACCCTATCTCTAAGGGATAGTCCAGCTACCCTGTGGAGGAAACTCATTTCGTCCGCCTGTACCGGCGATCTCATTCTTTTGGTCACTATCCAGAGCTTGTGGCCATAGGTGAGGGTAGGAACGTAGACCGACCGGTAAACAGAGAGCTTTGCCTTACAGTTTAGCTCTCTCTTCACCACAACGGACCAGTACTACATATTACAGACACTGCACCAATCTGTCTGTCAACCTCATGCGCCATTCTTCCCTCACTCATGAACAAAACCCAGAGATACTTGAACTCCTCCACTTGAGGCAGAACCTCACCCTCGACCTGAAGAGAGAAATCCACACGTTTCCAGTTGAGGACCATGGTCTCAGATTTGGAGGTGCTGATTCTCATCCCATCTGCTTCACACTCAGCTGCGAACCGCTCCAGTTAGAGCTGATGGTCACAGCACGATGGCGCCAACAGGACCACATCATCTGCAAAGAGCAGAGATGGAATCCTGAGGCCACTGAACTGAACTCCCTCCGCCCCCTGACTGCACTGAGAAATTCTGTCCATAAACGTTATGAACAGAATCGATGACATCGGGCAACCCTGGCTGAGTCCAACTCCCACCCTGAAGGTGTCCGACTTACTACCGGTAATGCGAACCAAACTCTCGCACCGCTTGTATAGGGACCCTGCCGCCTCGGAGCTTTTTAACTACCTCAGCGACCTCAGCCATGGTTATGGACAGACCAACCCTGAATATATGAGTTTCCCTTTCAGAAATGATTTGCAAAAAAGAAACAAATGGGGAAAAATATAAAATAAAATAAAAATAAACAATATTCTATTTTTTTAGATGCACCTGTATCTTTCAGCATGTTTTTCCTCAGATGTGTAACTAATGCACCCCTATAGCATCCGAGAGACAGACCTTTGAATTGTGTGCTGGTAACAAACTGGATGCTCTTCTGTTCCATAAACAATTTTAAATTTCAATTTGTCTGACCACAGCACTTTGCCTCAGTCCATTTTATACGAACTTTGGTCCAGAGAAGATGGCAGCATAAAGCTTTAGAAAACAAAAATCAAACATATAAAAGAACAAGTTCAAATTACAATAGGTATAAAATTAATTTCTAAAAGATAACACCAAAAGTCACCAATGTAATATTTCTCCAATTTTTTAATAGTTTCATTATATTATGAGCTAAAGACAGGATGTTTGAATTCTTCCCAATGTTTTTGTTGAGGAACATTGATTTAAAATTGTTCTTTAATTTGTGGACGTGAAGACTCTAAAAGGTTTAGTTTCTCTAAAAAAGGCTCTCTTCACACCCAGGCTGTGGAGGACGGAATGTGACAAAACGGAATAAATAAATACAAAATACAAACATAACAATTAAATGTATAATTTATTTATTAAATAATCATTAAATCATTAAATATGCAATTAAATTATTAAATACACCATTAAATAATGAAATGTACCTTTTAAATTACTCATTTCATGAATTGGTTAATTATTTAATTTTGTCACCTTCTACCCTCCAGCGACACCATAACTGTCAGTCTCACTCGTCAAACTCAGTAGGCGGGCCTAGGGCGGCTCGTGAACAGACCCTGATGTCTGATTGGCTGATCCTCACAACAAGCAAAGACAAAATCGACCGCAGATAATCGATTGATTCACAGGCAAGAAAATCTATTCCGAAACTTTAGGAAGTGGTAATTGTGTTCACGTGTATTTGGATGAAACCTTTTTTCATATCATGAACGTAAAGAAGAAAACGCGCTTTTACGAGCTGCATGGAGGGAGCTTCCATATGAACTGACTTCAGACCGAAGCAATGGATTTCACATGATCAACATTAGCCCCGCCCACTGAGTTTGACAAGTGAGACTGACAGTTAACATGATTTCATGGTGACACACGAGGGTGGAATGTGACAAAATGAAATAAATAAATCATGAAATAAATCATTTAATTGTGTATTTAATGATTTAGTGATGTTTTTTTAATATTTAAATGATACATTTCATCATGTATTTATTTATTTCATTTTGTCACATTCCGTCCTCCGTACAAGTCTTTATACTGACCTGTTGTAAACCAGCCATCAATTTCTTCACATTCTTTCTCCTTCGTGAAGCAACAGCAGTAACTACTGTACTGCTGTGACACCCCACCAATTAACCATTTTTCTTTTTTGTACCTATTGGTTTTATGTTATGTGTCGTGAATCGGAGTTCAAAATGATAACGATTCTGCAGTTTTGTTTGTTGAACCCACGTGCAGGCAGACACTGGAGACTCCGAAGTATAACGAACTAATTTACTTTACCAAACAAAACAAAACGCAGCAAAAAGTCACGTGAAGGGAGGAGACGATGAGAGGAGCACACACAGAACATGAATGACTCCGTGAAACACGAAATGCACAAAAGACCGGACAAAACCCAGAAACCCCACAAAAACGATCTTATGTTCTTCTTTACAAATGGTTCTAAGTTTAAACATGATATTTTTCTTCCTTCAGCTGCTCCCTTCCTCAGGGGTCGCCACAGCGAACTAACTCACACAAAAACTGGCAACCACCGAGCTACCACAGCCCTCTGTTGCCCCTTTTCCACCGCCCCTACTCTGCTCAGATCAGCTCTTTACACGTCACATTTCCACCGCACTTCAGGACCGGTTCTGGAGGCGCATCCAGAACCCAAAATCCTGCAAATGAACTTTTAATAAGTTCACAATTAAGAGTGAGAGTTCTGCGATGACTTAAACTCAAAGCAGTCTGCTCCTCAGATAAATAACGTTAAATTATTATTTTATTGATGAATATTTCTGTTCAGTGCCCTGAGACGACTTCTGTTGTGACTTGATGCTATAGAAACTGAATTAAATCTGATGAACCAGATCCTACAAAAACATTTATATTTAAAATTACATTATATTTAAAATTCTATATTTTTCTTCATCATTTGACGTATTTGCACTCATTGTGTCTACTTTTATTGTTCAATTTACATATGTGGTTTTGTTTCTTGTATACAGATTTTATTTTAGTGATTTAAAGTGTATTTCTTGTTTTGTGATTTGTACATCTGTGGGTTAGAATAAAGTTGATCCAAACGCTGTAGCTCTTCTTGAATCATATTGGAGGGAAAGGTTCCTGAGAGATCTAATAATTTAGTTTTTTTTTAATGATTTTTCAGCTGAGTTAACTTTAATTAACATATTATTTAATAAAGTCAAAGTGAAAACAGGATTTCATGATAAAGCTGGCACTGTTTAATTATTTTTATTCTCCATTGATAAAAATAACAAAAAATAAACGTTATTTTTATACATGAAATGTAAAAAAATAAATAAACGTTATTTTTATACATGAAATGTAAAAAAAAAATGTTTCTACCCTCATTCCACCTGCATTTTGACGTTGTTGGTACGGGATTCAAACTGGCGACGTTCAGATCACAGGCTTGTATTCTCTACCCACTGCACCTCCGCTCCCCTATAAGTTTAAATATAAACATGTGATATATTTACTAAATTCTATAAAAGAAATAGGTGACCGCTTGGGACCGGTACTTAAAACAGTTCTTGTAAATCTGCTGAAGAATTTAGGATTCTTATCAAGAAGCCTTGGAGCCTCTTTTCCCTGAAATATGTCTTACAAATATTACCGTACTTTTCAGACTCTAAGGAGCAATACCAATGAACAGGTGTGTTTTCATACATAAAACATACATACCGTATTATAAGGCGCATTAAGCGAAACAAAACAGTCAGATAAGTCAAACTTTATTCAACTCATTCACAATAACCACATAAAACTGATTCGAGGTCAGTAAGCGCAACCAGAATTAATACATAAGGCTCACTGTGAATTTTTGAGAAAATTAAAGGATTTTAAGTGCGCTTTATAGTTTGAAAAATACGGTATCTATACTGGAAATGTGTTACTTTGTTCAGGTTTGTCTTCTGGTTTAACCTGGGGTGCCTGTGGCTGAGTGGTTAGGGCAGTTGTCCTCCAATGCAAGAATTGGGGGTTCGATTCCACCAGCAGTCACATGCCCAAGTGTCCCTGGGCAAGACACTGAACCCCTCATTGCCTCCGATGTGTGTCCCATCGGTGTATGAATGTGATAAAGCTCTGATTAGTCTTTGTATAGATCTAGCTGTATGAATGGTTAAATGAAGGCACAGATTGTCGTGTAAAGCACTTTGAATATCTTGATAAGATAAAAAGGTGCTATATAACTACAGTCCATTTAACCTTAGAAAGGCAACAAGAAGTCATGCAGCTATGCGATGTTGCAGAAATCCTGAAGCTGACTGCTGTGAGTGCGGGAGTGGTGGTCATTAAAGGCGAGGCGACAGGAAGGTACCTGGCTATGAACAAAAATGGATGCCTTTACGGATCAGTGAGTGCTCAGGTTTTTTTTTTTGTCGAGTGTTTGGTGTTTTTCATCGTTCATCTGCATGTGTTTTCACCACAACCATTCCTCTTTGTGCTCCTTCATCGTTTCAGCAAGCGCTAAACGACGAGTGTCACTTCCTGGAGAAGTACGAGGAGAACAACTACAACACGTATCGCTCCCAGAAATACAACTGGTATGTTGCTTTAAAAAGGAACGGCCAGCCCAAAACGGGACCGGACACCCACCAAGGTCAAAAGGCCATCTTTTTCCTGCCAAGGCCTGCATGCAGCTTGTAATCCAACAAGGCTGAAATATACTGGGAAGGTTTAAATGCACACAATCAGGTTTATGACACTGAACAAAGTAAAATAACCTAATGCTGTTAAAACTTGAGTTAGTTCTGTTTGATGGCTCGAAACTTTTATCAAATCGTTGTAGCGGATTTAAAAAGCTACATGATTTTGAAATGAACATGAGCTGCTGTCTCTGTTTGTAGGTGCACGTCTTTCCTTCTCACTGCAGACAGAAAAGGCACCACCAGGCTGTGTTGGTAAATGAGAGTCCACTTTGAGCCCGGGTTTGAAATACCACCGCTGGGAGAGAAAAAATGCTCAGCTCGCACACAAAAATAGTTTTTCAGTAAATCACGTCTAGAACCAATAACAACAAAAAGCTATTCTTTTGGGTTTTTACTTTTTAAGAACCATTTTTAGAGTTCTAAAGCACATGAGGTGTTTCTTTTGAAGCATTTTACTTCATTATCCATCAGAACGATGCTTTTATTTATGGCTTTTGATCTTTTTATGCCAAGATCATCCTGATAAGTCTAAACCTTTATGTTTGTTTAAAGCCATGCACGTTGACCGTATTTTTCAGACCATAAGGCGCATTAAGCAAAACAAGTTCATTTTGACAGATTTCTGAGCGCCGTGTACCACATAAAATCGTTTCGAGGTCAGTAAGCACAACCAGAATTAATACATAAGGTGCACTGTTGATTTTTGATCAAATTAAAGGATTTTAAGTGTGCCTTATAGTCCGAAAAATACGGTAACTATAACAGGGTTAACCACGATGATGACAAAACATTTTCATACTTCACTGCATAAGTCCGCCATTTTTATTTCAAAAGATTAGCTAACAGTCAAGTGCATAGCTTTAATTAACTTAATATGCATTTGGAAACATGTATACAACTGAAAGAAAATTATTTAATGTTGGTTATAGTAAAACAGCAATAAACCAGTTTTCTCCTTTTATTTCATACGTTTCTTAACGTCACATGTTAATGTAGTTTTATCACTATTGAGAATATTTATTGTTTGACTGCTAATCACTTTTTTTTTCTCAGCGCTGTAACCGACATTTTGAAGGTAATTTATGCATGTGCAATGATTTAGCTTCGTCCCCTTTTTATAACTAATAAACATTGTGTGACATATGAGTAATGTGTACACTCTGTTATTGACAATGCAAGAAAAGTCTTAGAACAGTCACAACATAGCAAGAAGGTCTTAGATTTCAATTAGGTTGTGAGTTTTACATGGATTTCTTTCTGTGCTCCAGTTAACATGCATGGGAAGTTTATTGTTCATTCTAAGCTAACTTTATTTGTGAGTGTGCGCAAGGAATGGCAAAAATAGTTGTTTTAGGAGAATTGCACAAAGAAGTCCAATTATCTTTTGGGTTTCTAAAAGTAAGTAACTTGCATGCCTGTTTGTGGCTGAAGTAATGTCCTTTTATTAGCAATAAAGGAGAAACTTTGGTTTTTGTGACGCAGACATTAAATATGTCCACCAGGTGGCAGCATTGGAATAGTTTCAAGAGTGCGTTTTGCAGACAGGCCCAAAAAAAATAATAAAATAAAACACCTTTTATTTCGTATAAATATTCAGGTCTAATGAAGAAAAAAGATAATTGAGTGTTGAATATAGTAGATGGAACCCAAAGCTGTTTACAGCCGACATGCGATTTGTCAGCAGTGAGTGAAGGATGATAGTAAACATGGAAAAGCTCTGTACAACGTAACGCAGTTCATTATTTCAAGAGAAAAAAAAAACTAAAACATGGTTTTCTAAAATGAATTTTCTTTCCAACTATTCTGTTTTGAGTTTGGATACATTTTGACTGCAGAACTTGAGTTTAATCTCATTTAACCCCTTCTGATTACTTTTCAACTCCACCCCAATGTTTTATTGCTCAAGCCAAGGGGAAGTGAGGCCCAATCCTTTTTGTGATGGTAAGTGAAGGTGAAGGGCTTCCTACCAGGGCACTTTAACAATGAAATATAATCTGCGCTTTCAGAAATCTCATGAATGTATGTGCATTCTCTGATAGAACTGTTTGATTGTGCTATTTGCATTTATATTTGTATCATTGTCAGTTATTGTTGGCATAGGCATAAAAAATAGCAAAAATGGCCTCATATTTCTATAATAGAACACAATTGGGTCTACAAAAAATAACAATGTTTACTTTAGTGTATTCTATTGTGTTACACTCAGCATTTCTGCAGTCTTCCTTTTCAAGCATAAAACATAAAGTTATGTGCAAACTGTTTCAGGCTTGATAATTAATACACACCATATATGGGCATATTGACATGTCATCTGTTTGCATACATTTTTAATAATTAATTGCCTACTTGAATGGGTATCACAGAGTGGGTATTTTTTGAAACATTATCTTAAGAACCATGGAGTTAATGTTGGTGTGAGGGCAATGCTAGGAAATGAGATTAAGTCTCAAGGTATCATTGAACTACTTCATTTCATTTAAATGCTGAATAATCAACTTTATTTGTACCACACTAGTGTTTTATCTCAGTTACTGTTGAATGAAGTGTTCAGCTTATCACAAAAAAAAGTTGTAAAAAGCAACTGCTAGGAAAATTCAGCACGATACAGCATTTTTAATCACCGGTACTTTTTTTTATTGCCTGGAAACAAATATTTTTGTATTAAAAATGAAAATAATTAAATAAATAAATTAAATAAAAAAAACAGGTAAGCAACCTGTCTGACCTTTCACAAGTGGGACCCAACTCCAACTCCACCAGGACACACACACACACACACACACACACACACACACACACACACACACACACACACACACACACACACACACACACATTGGCCACTGGCCTGCTGGGCTGAGCGGGACAGGAAGGGAATCATTCACTGTAAACTGAACAAGAACTGGCTTCCTCTGGGAGTCCCCAAGCCTGACAGCAGCCAAGATCACTGCAACACAACACCCCCCCCTCCTCCCTCCCTCATTCACGCACGCACGCACGCATGCACACACACACACTTTCAGGAACAGACACGTTCTCTCGTCTGCTTCTCGCCTCTCATGTCCTCAGTTCCATCTTTCTCCCGTTTCCTGCAGAACTTTGAGTGTCCAGTCTTTTTAACCTCTCTCCCTTTCTTGTTGCTCCAGTTTTATTTAAACTAAAAACTTCAGCACATTTTTTTATTTACAATTTAGCTTAGTCTCCCCCTTTTCTACACTTTTCTACAAGACTATATTTTTTTAAACTTCCTGTCATTCTGGGTTTGTTTCTCCAAATCCCAGCCGGTGGAAGCAGATTGTCGCTCGTCCAGAGCCTGGTTCTGCTGGAGGTTTCTTCCTGTTAAAAAGGAGCTTTTCCTTTCCACTGTCGCCTTCGTGCTTGCTCATGGGAGACTGCAACCAAGTGAAGATGCAACACAATCTGCTGGCTTTCTTTTACCGATTCGTTTTTATAACGTGCGTGAATGTTTTCGTTCAGTGCCCTGAGTTGGGTTCTGTTGAGATGTGGCGCTTTATAAAAAGCTGAATTTAATTGAATTAACTGATTAATTTCCCCACATTTTCAATTTTTTTTAAATTTTCACTGCAAATAAATAAACGTGTTCCATGTACAGAACTCACACTGATAATCTCCCTATTACCATATTTCATGAAGAACTTCTTTAAAGTGAGGCACCTATAAAACAAAAGTCTACCCATAATGACACATTTTCTGTGTGCAGCTACTTTTGTTCTGCTTTGTGGCTGGGATCATGAAACGAGATACTCTTCGTCACTGTTGCTGCGTGCTTTCTATTCCCATCACATTTCACCTCCACCAAGCAGGAACGGAAACAGGAGATGCTCATCTGTCAGCTGATCCAACTGGAAATGCTGACATCGGTATCCCCGTCTGCTTCAGCTCTGTGATGAGTGGGGAGCAGGGGGGGAGAGAATGACTGGAAGCATTTGGACAAACCAGAGAATCACCCAGATGCTTGTGGTTTCCCCCAACTTCAACTGTTTTCCCAATCGATGATTAGTGCTGGATGGACACATTCTAGGAGGGGGACGAACGTGCAGCTTTACCTCACAACGAGAGGAAACGGGTTTTGGTAACAAGTCTGCAATATTGAAATAAGCTGAAATGTGACCAAAAATACACATAAAAATAAAACTTTTCAAAGTTCAGTTGAGTTTAAGTTATCAAAACCAAAACCATTGAGTAGATGAATTATTTTTTGGGACTAAAGCTAAGTTTTTCTTTTGTCCATTTGTCAGTTTTTATTATCATTTTGGGTCGCTACATTATAATTTCAGTCATTTAGATACTCTGCTCTTTCAGAAAGGCCTTGTTGGGTATACTGTTGTTGGACTCCCTGTGAGAGCAATAAAATTAAGGTGTTTCATAAAGTCATTAACTTACTATGTGGACATAACTGACAGCCAACATTATTTACTGACACAACCTAAAAGCATTTCTACATATTTGCATCTGAAGTGACTCCTGGGAAGTTGAAGCGAAGACAGCTGAATTTCTTCTTTTATTCTTGAAGAAGTTTCACTTCTCACATGAAAAGTTTTCCCAATTCAATTCCTAATTCCAGAAAATAAGGAAACTTCTGTTTAATCCAGTTGCCTTTGATTGAACTTTTTCAATTTGAGAATATGTGGTGAGCACAGTTCTGCTAATCTGATAAAAGCTGTCAGTGGAGCTAATTATTTATTTAACATATTGCAGTTTTTGCTAACTTTGGAAACCGTTAGCGGAATTAGCTTCCGCTAAACTAGGTTTTGCCAACTTTGTTTGCCAACAGATTTTTTTTCTTCAGTTTATTTAGTTCATTCACACACACGAAAGAATCATAATAAAAAATTCACACGCTTGTTCCTGTCTGTTGTGGGCGTGTCTCGGAGTCCATTAGACACGCTATTGGCTTATGTACACATGACAAGACATGATTGGTCGATGCAGATTAAGCTGGAAGGGGATGAAGACGATGTAGACTGAGCGACAGTTGTCTGAGCAGTTAACGGTTTAGCATAAAACACACACACATAGGGGTGGGGGGGTTAAGGGCCTTGCTCAAGGGCCCAGATGTGGCAAATG